TTATTCATAAGGATAATATTTTATTTAAGGTATTTTTGAATAGACTAGACACAAAATCAATATTTATCAATGACACAAAAATTTTTTATCTTAGTTTATGTATGATACAAGAACAGATCAGTGTGAATTCTGACACTGCTTACTAGCAATTATTATCTGAAAATTTGGTTTAGTTTTTGATAGAGCACATCTAATATCTGCATCAATATCAAGTCTATTTCTTTTTTTTGTTTTAAGAGATAGCATTGCTGAAAACCCGGCTTCACACAAATATGATGTTGAAAAAGGAATAAGGGCTTTAAGTGCAATTGATGAACACAATGGATATGAATTCCTCATTTTCAACCAGAAGTTATTTAATGGTGCTACTTTGAAGTGATCCTTAGCCGTGGTATCATTCTTTAACTCTATAAACTCTTCTTGTGCTTCCTCTTTCACATTTTTCACATCACAAGAAAATGGTGATATAATAACTTCACTGCTCAAAAGATTCATATCTGGAAAATAGTTACCAAATTCAGTAATCAAATTATCTAGGTGACAAACTATTTCTGTCTTTATAACTTCAGGAAGCATGTTAACTCCAATTATGTTATTTAAATTTTGAAACATGATCAAGTTTCCATTATCAATTCTAGTCTTGTACAGTTTGAGCTTTTCAATAAATGCCTTCAGTTTATCTGAATGTGTAATAACATTAGCATTTTTGCCTTGAAGTTGCAAATTTAACTTGTTAAAATGACCTACGATGTCCACAAGATAAGCAGTTGTTGTTTCAAAATTATCAAATTCAAAATATTCTACCAGTCCACTTTTCATTAGACATAAAAATTCTTTCACTTCATTTCTAAGCATGAAAAATCTTTCCAAAAAATTTCCAGCAGATAGCCATCGCACAGAAGTATAAAACAATAACTTATTGTGTTCAGCATTTAGGTCAGAGCAAAATTTTGTAAAAAGGCGAGTGTTAAGAGCAGAAGATTTTATATAATTGACCAACTTGACTAATTGATAAAATTAAAACAGTGTACACCAACTACATTTGGAGCAATTTCTTTTACCCTAGTCTGTAATCCAGACTTACAACCCATCATGGCAGGAGCTCCATCAGTAGTAATTCCAAACAAATATTTCCATTGTAATTGATTGTCATTGAAAAACTGTTTTAAAATTTCCATAATATTAGCTGCTTTTGTTGTTGTTTCAAGGCAAGAAGAAAACAAAAATTCTTCTTTAAATTTGTTATTGTGAATATATCTACAATATACAATTAGTTGTGCCATTGAACTTACATCTGTGGACTCATCCAACTGAATAGAAAAATATGGGGATTCTTTAATTTCATTAATAACATTTTCTTTAATGTTTGATGAAATATCCGTTAGCCTTCGTTTGACTGTAGTATTTGATAAAGATATATATTATCTACCTTCTTTGCAGCTTCTTCTCCAAATAATAATCTAACGATTTCTTTTGTACATGGAAGTATAACTTCTTCAGCCAATGTGTGAGCTTTTTTGTTCTGTGCTATTATATATGAAACCTTATAGGATGCTTCTACTATATTCTGTTGAGTTTGGTAAATAATCCCAGTTTTATCCAATTTGCATCTCTTCAGTGATTCAAATTTTCTTTTGAAAAAATCAGTATCTTTTGTTTGGAGATCAGGATGGCACTTATTCAAGTAAATAGCAAGCTTTGAAGGTTTCATAGAGTCATTTCCTAGTACTTTATAACAAATAACACACTGTGGGTAGCTAATGGTTTCTTTAAGCATGTAGGTAAATCCATATCTCATGTATTCATCTAAGTATGCCTTTTTTTTACTTTTAGACATCTAAAGTATTTAAAAAATAATATAAAAAGCATCTATAGATAAGAGTAGTATAGTATCGAATTTTTATAGAAAATAACACAAATTACGTTCTTTCAAACAAATCAGTAAGGTTATCTTTACCATGAGATAAGATTTTAACATTTTAAATTTACGGATAAAAAATGATATTATATAGCATTTATTACTTCGTAGAGGTCCGCAAGTCCTCGTCGAATTAGTTAACGCAAATTTTGTGTAACAGCTTTCTCGCATAAATTACATTTTTAATTTAAAATTTAATTTGTTTCTTTCAACAGAAAAAAATAATCAAAATTAAGTTTCACTACCAAAAAATATTTAGAATTTACGTTTATCTTGTGATCCGCTTAAAAAGTTCTTATGGACCCCCAGGGGTCCATGGACCACCGGTTGGGAACCACTGCAATATTAAAATAAAAAAAATTAAATAGTCATTGATTTCTTTCTGCTCAGTTTCTAGGTATACGTTTAAAGAATGTTTCCAAAAAATCATAAAGTTTAATATTTATGAAAATATAAGATTTAAAAAACTTAAATTTGGATGAAAATCATATTTCGCAAATAATGCAATTTAAAAACTTAAATATAAAGAAAAACAGTACAAATTTTTATCTTTATAATTTAAAAGACCCCAAGACCCCCAAATAATATATCATGGAAAGAGTATAGAATGACATTTAAAAAGTATATATATAAACAATTTTGATTTTTTTTTTTCATGTTCTTTTTTCTAGGGGAATCGTTTAAAAAAATAGAGAATCCGTTTACTAAAAATATTTTTAAATACACTTTCATAAACATATATTAAACCAAAAAGTAAAATACATCCAAAATTAACCAAATCCAATAAAAGCTTAAAATATAACTTAATAAAGTAAAAAAAAAAGACTAAAAATATATTGTTAACAAATTTTTTTTATGCGTCGTACATGGTCGTCTTAATTAAACAAACCATGTAATAATATATTTAAGTGTATCAAACACAGTATTTATCTGTTTTTGATTATTTTATGGATTTTCTATGTTATGAATAGTTTAAGTAATCCTTTAAAAGCATCTTCATTTAAGAATAATATATTTCCTGATAATTTAAAATCAGCTATAGTTCACTCAGTTTTCAAGAGGTGATTGTTGTACTGTTTGCAACTACCGTAAAATGAGGTGACTGGTCATATTTAAAATCTTTTTTTTTCTTTCAAAATTTAATTACAAATGATTAATATGTTGATATAAATTGCATTAGGTGTGCATGTCAAAGAATTAAATAATTAAAAAAAATAAAAAAATCTTTGACCCTTTTTTTTAAATATTATGTGTGAGTCAAAGTCACCCCTATAGTGGTGGTGACTTTGGCCACCTAAAGGAAATTAAAATCATTTTATAATTTTCTTTTATAATTACATCCAATGGCTGCATTAAATGCGTGGAGTTAGCAGGAAGTGCAATAAACTTGATGTTGTTTTCTTCACACAAAGACAGTCCATATGTATTCATGTGACGACAAATTTCCCCCAATTAGAACATGTTTTGCAGAAGTTTTTTTTAATTCAGTTAACGATTAAGAATCAAACCAACCTGTAAAACAACCATCAGTCAAACCATCTACTCTTTGAGCGGTTATAGCGTGCGCCTTTTGGTCCATTTTCTGTCCAAGTTGTCCACATTGAATCTGCTTTGTATATAATATATGGAGAAAGGATATGCCCTTCTGCATTACCACAATATATCTAAGATTTAGCAGACTTTGTCAAATTAATTATCCGCTCAGAATATTTTGATCCTTGCTTTGTTATTACTAGTTTATTACCAGGGCCATCGGTTAAGTTAGTTTCATTGAATTCCAAATGTTTGATGGAGGAACCCTTGCCAGTTCAGAAGTAATGTATCAAAATAGTTATTAATAACAGTACCTACTTCTGCCCTCTTTCTTTTAATGTTACTTGCAAATCTAATTAATTAAATCACTTAATAGTTTATTTCTCTTAGGGAATGATTTTACCCATTCAACACCAGGCAAATTTCCTGCAAATTGCCTAATAAACATTCCTTTAGGGTCTGCATAAGACTTCACAAAACTTCGTAAACCATAACAGTCAACTGAGAATCCAAAAGAAGACATAGTTATAACATAGTTTGCAAAAATTTCTTCTTCAATTTCACTAAATATTGTGCAACCGCCTGCTTTTTATTATGTATACCTTTCAGTTTGTTCTTTATTGTTGATAGAAGAATTTTAAAAGTTAAGCAAGCATCTGTTTGTGTTAAATTACCACTTCTTACTTTTAAACATTTGGTTGTTTCCTGGGTGCATGGAATATAATTACGACACCTAGCAACACGTTTATTTGTTCTTGGCATGTTTTCTTTGATATTAATATGATTAATAATTAATACTTTGTCCTAAAAACAAAAATTGAAAATTAAACCAATAAAATTATATCTATAGACAACATTCTCTGAAAAACAAATCAAAAATATAATATTGAAAATCAAATAATTACATTTTTTCACTTAGGTTTAAGTCACCCCATAAATTTTACTTTAAGTTATTTTTAATTAGAAGAGTAATAAATTTGGCAACTATTTTACAAAACTCATCCTATTTAAATTTACTATTAGTTATAATATCACAGCCCACTCAAATAATAACAGCAGTTTCAACCAACTTACAATTTTGCAGCATATAAAAAAAGAAAAAATTATATCAACAGTTCGGCAAACTACCATTAATCTAGGTAATAAAATTTTATCAACAGTTCGGCAAACTACCATTAATCTAGGTAATAAATAAATAGAATAACTTGACTTTTGTGATAAACTTAAATTTGTAAGAAGTCGCAAAAGTAAAAAGTAGTTTTTAAAAGTTAAATCTATTTTTTTATAAATTAGCCTAAGTCACCTACCAGGCCAAAGTCACCTCATTTTACGGTACCGCCTATAACACTGGTCAAAAAAATTTTGCAATAAAGAAATGTGCTTACAAATTTTGAATTAACTATTCACCCTCATTTTATCACCATATTTATAATTTCATAAGGATTTTTTCATGAAAGTAATTAGGAAAGAAATATATATGCAAAGGCAAATAAAAACTAATAATTTTTTAATTTGAAAAGTAAATTAAACGGTAAAAAAAACGAGCTGATTGCTTTAACAATAAATAATTATTTTTATGTTCAAATTGTAGTTGTTGCCAATAACATTTCGACACTAGTAAGTTTAGATTGGTTTTCAATAGCAACTAAAGACCAATGATAGATTATGACGATAGATGTAACGAAGATAGAATAATTAAGAGAGCTAGTTTTTAGATGAATTAACCACCATTTGCATATTTATACAAGTATACATGAAATTTTTTTATCTGTTTTTATTACAATGTTACGAAACTTTTACGATGTTACGATGCATAAATTTAGCTAGTTAAACTTTTTCTAAAGAACGCTTTGAAGTTGTGACTACTTCTTCACCTTTCATAAAATCATCCTAAAAATGAGAAAATTATACATATGAATATTTATTATATTAAAATATATATTGAACAACAGCGTATCAAAACGAACTTCAATAGTTTGTAATTTGACGGTTGCTCGGTTACAAAAATCAAAACACAGGTTTAAAAATTTAAAGAAAAAACAGTTAACCAAAGCCAAAACGTCGATGCCATTGACGATTTTGTCGATAAACAACACTTCTGGAAGAGCAAAAATATTCTCAATAACTATTGTAGTCAAATTTTTTAAACAAAAATTATTAAAGTTATATACAATATATAACTTATATAATATTATTTGAATTACTGAACTGCATTTAGCTGAATATATAATTTATCTTCAGAATGTTAGCTTTAAAATTAATTAAACAGTAAATAAACAAAATACAAAAGTCAAAGTATTGTAAAATATCAAATTATATAGTTAACATATTTTTTCTTCAAAGTTCAAACTATAAAAATAATACTAAAAATGACTGGTTGTAACCAAGCAACGTACATAAAAAAAATGATTATAATAAAAATAAAGAGAGTCATTTTTGAAAGTTATATTATTAAAACTTATTTGATCAACATTCAGGAGATTTCCATAAATGTTATTTACTTATTACGCAAAATTCTTGCTAGCAATTTTGAAAGTGTGGTTAATACAAAAATCGGAAATTTAATACATAGAAACAAGAATAAAGTGAGTATAGTATACATATGGAAGTGTCTAGTATACATATGGAAGTGTGAGTATATTATACATATGGAGTGGTATTGTTTTTTGTTTTTTTTTAAATTTACTTAGTTGTGGGCAAAGATAAGTTTCTAGGAGTTACAGGTTTTTATGTTGTTAGTACAATCATTAAGTTAGGTCTAGGGTTAGAGTCAGGGTTACAGTTTTTTATATGCTTTCAGCACAATCATTAAAAGTAAGGTTTACAGTTAGAGTAAGGGTTACAGATTTTTTTATGTTTTCAGAACAATCTTTAAGTTATATGTAACACTTGTAAATTTAATCTACAGGCAAAGTTAATGACTACTTAACATTTATGTAAAGTTCTTTACAACAATGCCAAATGGCTTTAAGGAAGCGACTGGGTTTGAAATTTGACCGGGGTTAATAAAATATAGCCGGGGTCGGGTTTGTGGCCGGAGCTGCATAAACATTTACACATCCTAAAGTAATTTTTTAAATTCAAAATCCTTGTTATATTTTGCATATATACGCATATAAACATCATTATGATCAACAAGATCATCATCATGATCATTATCATCATCAGGCTTTAGCCTTTCTTATTTAAGCTGTTTTTCTAACATAAACAATCAATTTTCAGCATTTTCTTTCCTTAACTAAAGCTCCTTAACTTTATACAATATGTAAGGCACTCTCTTAAAGTTTTCTTACTTCTACCTTTACCATCTAATCCTAAAGCTGCTACCTCTATACATGTTGATGCCTAAATCACTTTAATCTTCTCCAACAACGTTGCATCGAACGTTTTTCGATACAACGTTTTTTTCTAATCTGTTCTTATAACTCTTACCCATCTTCATGTTTTCCATTTATATACAACCTACAACTTTTTAATTCTTCAGGTAAACATTCTCTAAATTTTTAACCCTATCCTTTATTTTAAAGTAACTTATAACTTAATAGTGGTTGCTTGCAACCTCGTTGGAAGTAAATGAGTATAAAAAAATAAAAATATATGCCAGTATTTAATAAATAGTAAATGTAGTATAAAATTATAATATATAAATTATTATAAATTTTTTTTCTGGCACAGGCTATCAACACCAGCTAAATCTTATAATTTTGCTGGGACCGGAGTTGGGTTTGCAAAAAATTTCATTTTAAGCGGGGCCGGGGCCCCGGTCACTTCCTAGTGGATGTAAGAGTAACAATTTTTTTGTAATATCCACATTTATGTAAGCAAATAATACTTTAAATTACTTACCACATCATATATAACTTTGATTATAAGTGAACAACTTGGACATGTTGCGACATCTTCACCATCTGCAAGCATTTCAGAAGAAATTTCAAATCGATCACCACAAGGACATGGATAATAGTAAATATCTTTTTCCTCATCATATTCAAAATCTTCAATCTCTACTTCATCATGAAATACAGACATACCATAGCTTGAGATGACAGAAATCTGATTGGTTGATCTATATATTGAATCAGAAATAATGTTCATATACAACTTTAAAAATTTAAAAAAAAACTGCATATACTTGGTATTCTCAAAAAGTGTTAACATGTCGCATGGCTGTGGAGTCCCCAAAACGAATAATATATAATGATCCAATAAGAATCCAGGCAGTTATAAAGACATAATAGTTACAAAAAGTATACAACACATAGAAGACAAAATATATAACATTTTAATGGGAGTATAGACAGTAAAAAATATATCAAACAAAACTTAAATTTTTATAAATTTTTAGTTTAAAGTTTTACAAAATTTTTTTTTATAAAACTATACACAAAATATTGACACTTTTAACAAAAATATGTTCATTATATATTCTCATAAAAGTTTGTGTGTGCGTATGCATATGTGTGTGTGCATATTAATATGTAAGAAAAATAATTTTATTATCAAATAAATAATATATGAAAAGATTTAATAAAAATCGAAATTAATTTCATCGTATATTTTTGAGAGCTTCAGACTTTTCTGTGTCAATCGTTGTGAATCGAGACAATTGAACCCCAACTTTTGAATGAGATTTTATATCATTGTAAGAGCAAGTAATGTATGTTAGACCATCACTTTTAGCTAAGATCTAAAAAAAAGTAATGTATGTTAGACCATCACTTTTAGCTAAGATCTAAAAAAAAGAAAAAAACCTTCAATCTTTAATCAATCAAAAAAAACTTCTAACTTATTTGTAACATTCTAACGTATGCGTAACATCCTAACACACGTGTGACATTTTAACATGCATTTGCATTCCAACATATGCATAACATTCTAACAAATATGCAACACTCTAACATACACATAACATTATAACATATGCATTCTAACATATCTGTAACATACACATAACATTATAACATATGCTTAGCATTCTAACATACACATAACATTATAACATATGCTTAGCATTCTAAAATCATGAGGAGGTGTGTCAAATGTTTTTTCATAATCTAGATATAAAGCATCTACACTATAGCCTCTTGCCATTTAATTTAAGATCTGATCTACAGTTTTTAATAAATTGGTAATACATGATTTATTTGGAACAAAACTGTGCTGATTTATAGATAAAAGGAAATAGATATGTTAAACAATCTTTTACAAAGTTTGTAAAAAATTGTTTAACCAAAACCAGCAGAAGAATCATTATAACATATGCTTAGCATTCTAACATACACATAACATTATAACATTCAAAAATCTTAAAAGTAAATTTAAATCCTATTTTACTTGTTAACTTAATTTTAATGGTAAATTTAAAAAATAAATTCAAAAACACTTTTATCAAAGGAACAATTTTAAAAATTGTAATAAAAACAATAAAAGATAAAAATAAATAGATCCCTGATTTTCAATAACTTGAATTCTTTATTTTTAATAAATATATCTATTATAAATTATTAATTAAAAAAAAAAATGACAAGCAACAAAAAAACATACAGTACTTGATTGTGGTTTGATGTTTTCATAAACCATACTCTCAACCATCATACTCTCAATGCATAAATCAGAGGTTTTTTTTTCGTAACAAGTTTCATTTGATTTCTCAGTAATGCAATGATATGCTTTAGAATTAGAATTAGCTATATTTGATGACTCAAAACATAAATTTTCTCTATGAATGGGTTTAAAATCAGGTAAACTCTCTGTGTATTTTTGTTCGTTGTGATTCAAGATATTATTGTTCAAAGGAAATGTGCCATTTAAATGTTCAAAAGAAATATTTGCGAGTAAGTTAGGCCCTAATTTGTCTTTTTGAAAACTTTTTATTGATTGTTGTTCATTATCAGGCTGCTGGCCATTTAGTATTTTAAATTTTGGAGTATCTAGATTTTTGTTATCATGTTTACTACCTATTGGGCATACATAATCATATGAACTATCTGTCACTGACTTCTTGGTTTTAGAGGTGGGTTTTGTAAATCTATTAACTACAGGAGAAGGTTTTGTTTCTCTGATTACTACAGGAGGTTCAACTTTTGTTAACAAGCCTAAAAAAAGAAAAGAAAACATTAATACCATGGAGTAGGCTAAACATATTCAAAAAATCAATTTAAATATATAACAATTAAAAAAACAATAAAAAAATAATATATAATAGTTATTAATTGTAGTAAGATTAATTTATTCTACCGTTATCAAAACAACTGCTATTTTCTGAAGGTTTTAACTTTTCAATGTATTTATTTTTAGGAGCACCAGCTTGATCCAAATGAGAAGAATTTAAAGTTGAAGAAGTATTGTTTAAACATGCATCAACCTTATTGGAAGATACACTATCTGTTGAAGACTGAGTGGTAAATTTACGAAACTCTTTTCCTGGATTGATTGTAGTTAATTTTGGTGGTTCCACTATTTTTATATATTCTTCTGGCTCAATACTTTTTAAATTTTCATTAGGAATGTGATCCATAGGAACATAGCCAGAGCTACCAGAAAGATTTTCAGACAACTCTTCATCATGTTTATGTTTGGTTGAGTGTTGCTTTATTGACTTTAAAAAGTTTAAATGGTTATCTATTGCTGGAAAATCCACTAGATCGTGATCAAACGAGGTTATTGCAAAGCTATTTTTATTAATGTTTTCAACTGGAATAGGAGGTGGTACAATATTATAATTCGAAAAACTCATGTCATCATTGTTTACCAAAACATTTTCATCATCAGTTTGATTAGAGCCAATAAAAGGAACTGGTGGTGGAAGTGGAGTATAGTTATCAAAATTGAAATGACAATCATCTGACACAATACTTTGCTGATTAACTGGCACACTTGGTGGTAGAAAATCATAATTGGAAACATCAATGCTATCATCTGTGTACAACAATGAGTAAGAGCAGTTAGAACTTATCGGGTCTGTGTTTATATAAGAATTCCTAACTTGAGGAAGCTCATCATAATTGTCTGTAGAATCAACAAACTGAGAGTTTTGCACGACAGATGTGCTGTGAGATTCTGTCAAAACTGTTGTCATAAGCAACTCATTATTTGATTGTGTAACTAAAAATAAAATAAAATTATTTGTACTCTTAAAAATTAAATATACTGTAAGAGAATAGAAAAGATAATGTAATAATGCAAAAATATAAATTTAGAATTAAATACAAAGACCAAAAGAATTAAGTAAAAAGAATTAAATACAAAGGTAAGAGGAATTAAATATAGAGACCAGAAAAATTAAATATAAAGACAAGAAAAGAAAGTATTAAGACCTGTGCTTAATACTTTGCTGTGGATCAAAAAACCGAACTTTTGGTAAAATTAATAATTTAATTTATATTTATTTTTAATTTAATGCATATATATATATATATATATATATATATATATATATATATATATATATGTGTGTGTGTGTATATATATGTGTGTATATATATATATGTGTGTGTATATATATGTGTGTATATATATATATATGTGTTTGTATATATATATATGTGTGTATATATATATGTGTGTATATATATATATATATATATATATATATATATATATATATATATATATATATATATATATATATATATATATATATATATATATATATATATATTAATTTTATTAAGGAAACTAACTAAATTTATTTTATTTTTTTTTAAATAAATTTTTGTATTTAAAATGTTTATTATTAATTCAATATCATGTAAAGTTCTTTTGATGTAATACATTTATGAACATAAATTACATTTACAAATATCTTAAGGGTAATATATAAAATCTGTATGTATAAATTATTTATAATCTTTATCAAAAATACTACTTCAATAGGTATAAATTTAAAAAATAAATTGTGATAAATAAACAAAATATTATGTTAAGTATAAGACTGTTGATAGAAATAATTTAAGAAAATATAATTTTTTTTCAAATACCGAATAGAATATTAATTATAGAAACAGATTCTATCAATAACTTTTATATTAGTTTTAATAGTTTTAACATGGTTTGAAATTAAATTAAATCACGACATGGTATTTTAATTACAAAGGGTTTAAAGTATTTGTAAATTGTTTTTTTATATTTGTCAATACTTTGTTGTTGTAAAAAATAGTGCCTATTTTTTATATAAAACAAGCACTTAATTCAAGTGAAAAAGCTAATGGGGTTTATATCGGCATGTACTCAATAGTTTACAACATAACTTTTATTTACGGAAATTACTTCTAGTGTACACTTAGCCCTCTAAGGAAAAATAACTAGAAGGTGCGAGAACTCCAATGAATACAAAAAGTTTAAATAAAAAAAAAGCAACAGACAACTCAAAACATCGACGAGCAACCAAAATTAACAAACTGATTACTTTCAGTTGCTCTTCTGGTGAGCAACCAAAAGTTTGAGAGTACACCACTGATATATATAGATATATATATATATATACACACACACACACAAACACACACACATATATATATATATATATATATATATATATATATATATATATATATATATATATATATATATATATATATATATATATATATATATATATATATATATATATATATATATATATATATATATATATATATATATATATATATATATATATATATATATGAGCCCATTTGCAAAACATGCAAAGTCTAAGCAAATTGATTTTGAGATATTGACGAAAACTGACCCACACATATTTTGCGCTCAAAAAAAAAACTTTTGTTGGTAAAATTCCCTTTATTGTAATGATAACAAACAAAGTATGCGCATAGGAAAAAATGCAAAGCAATAAGATCATGAAATAAACCTGATTAAATTATTGACTTATTTTGATGTTAGATGGATAATGTTAGATTATTTTGAAAAGGGTTTGTTTACAAAAAACTATATATGTATATATAAATATAAGTTTTATTGAATTCATACAAGGTTTATTTTGTTTTAATTAAAATGATTTCAAAGGAAAAGCTTTGATTTTCATGAATTTTTGAAAAAAGTAATAGTATAAAATAATGGGAACAAACAAAGCACTACAGTAAAAGTTGTAGTTTTTGGATACAAAATTTTGATCAAAGAAAATGCTGTACAATGAATAAGTTAAACATGATTACAAGCAGCATTTTCTCCAAGACAATTGCATATAGTATCTTCCTCATCTACTGGGTCTTTTTCTATAAAAGAGAAATAAACTATTAAATTCAATTAAACAACGGCCAAAATAAATTATCGTTTATATCGCACATGAATTAACTACACCTCCACCGTTATTTTTGTTAATAGAAAATAAAAATTAATAAACGGGGAGGGGGTGGGGGATTGGTGGTTTTAATAAGCTTGAATGGATGGGAAAAGTTTACAAAAATTAATCAAAGTCCCCTCCCGTGTATTAGACACCTAAGAGTAGATATAAAAAAATATATGGCTTGTGTTGATTAAAAGATTTATTACTTGTAGTTTAGAGAAAAATAATAAATACTACCTTTCTTTTTGTTTTTTTATCCTTAGTAAGATGATTGTTTGCTTTTTCTCCAACAGCTATAAAACTTTTTTAATTTTTTAAACTTTCTCTAACTTCAGCCATTTTGTATTAGGTGATAAATTTTAAATAATTTAATGCTCCAAGAAAAAGTGCGCTAATAATTAGTATAAACAGACTTTTCATTGGTTGTTAAAAAAACATAAAGTCACTTATAACTCATCTGATTGGCTTCTAACTTAGCATGTTTTAAAGTTTTAACCCAGTTTGACTTAACATGTTTTGAAAATATTTTGATACTTCTCTTACCTGTTTTTAAGAGCCGATTAATAGAACTAATATTTAATTAAATGATAGATTTCAGTATATAGAATATAAAAATGAAATAAACAAAAAAAATTTTTTTTTTGTGAGTTAGCGCATTTTGCAGATAGGCTCCTCATATGAATATATATATATATATATATATATATATATATATATATTTGTGTGTAATTATTAATTGCTGTGATGGGCATATAGACTCTCTACTGGGACAATATTTTTTTGTTATAGACGTCCAACTAATGACAAAAGGTGTTCAAATCTGTTGGGCGACATTCTTAAGTATTGATAAAAAAATTCTCTATCAATTAGCATCATTTTTTGCACCGACAAACTAAATGAATCTTGCTAGAGGCGTTTTTAAAATATTTTTCTGACCCAAAACTGATTTTTTTTTCGGCATTTCAAAATTAAAAGTATAACATAAAGTTGACAATTTAGAATAACACATTTTTAATGGCTGCCATGCTTTTCATTTATTTTGTGTTCTTTTTTTTTAATTTGACTTAATTAAATGCAACAAACTAACTCACAATAAATTAAACAAAATTTGCACGATTGTTGTGCAACATTTCTACAACTATTGGAAACCAAGCTTTATAGGAGTAAAACGCGCTTGAATAAATTATCAAGATTGTGGCATATATTATGCTGACTTTTTAGCCTACAACAAAATAAAGAAAAGCCAGCATCGACAAAAACTAAAATGTTAGTTTTTTTTTGTATGCATTTATTCCTTTGTTTTAGTCAAAAACTTTTAGCCCAAGCATTTTTTTTTAATCATTCTTTTTAATATGAATACAACATGTCTCAGAGGTTTGGTATTCCTTTAAGATCAGAAGGTTTAAAAGAAAAGTTTAGTCTAAGTAGAATTAAGTAATGATAAACACATGTGGAAAAAAAACATAAGAATTTTAATTTGGAAAAATAAGTTAAGGTTTATTTTGGTACGCCTTACTTGTATGCGCATACAAACAATTTTTATTATCTATACATACTTATTTAAACATAAGTTTGGTTATTTGCTATTAATTTTTTTCGATTATTTTACCTAAAAATTTAGTTTAATTAAATTAAATAATTTTTTTGATATAAACTAAATAAATTTATAAATTAATTAAATGAATAATGAAAAACTTTTTTTGAAATAAAATATTTAAATCCAAAACAAAAGTTCCTATAGTAGAATTTGTACACACATACAAATAATTTATTTAGATGTTTATCACTGTGCTTATTATTTGTTTAGATGTGGCAATTCCACGGCAGAAAATGAAAAAGTAGTCAAAATTTATCTTTTAGCAAATAAATATTGATGCTAACACAAAATTTTATATAAAATATACCTTAAGTACTAAAACTAATTTAATTAAGTCATTTTTAGAATTCCGAAATGGTGTCTTTTTAGAAAAATTTAATTTTTGTAACAAAAGCAATTAAAATATTTTTTAAAACATTTATTTGAATAAAACATCAAATAGTGTCATTTATTGAATAGTTTAGGACATTTATAGTCATGGGCCAAGGGAGATACCCTCCACTCCCACTATGCCTCCACTCCCACTATGCCCCCTCCCCCAATCTCCCTAGATTTTTTTTTTTTTTTTTTTGCATAAAATGAATAAATAATGCAAAAACATACAGTTTAATTTTAATTTTGAAAAAAAAAATTTCATTATTTCAAATTGGTGACTTAAAACCTCCTTTTATATAAAAAACAAACATAAGTTTTGTTTTGTTCTTTTTAAAGGTATTTAGTTTTTTGTATTTTCTTAAAGAATTACTTTTAATTTTATAGTTTTTATATTATTTTGTTAGGTAATAAATAATAAAAATAATTAATATGGAGAAATGTGACATTGGAAAAAGTCTTAACATTCATTGCCACAAAACTGGATTTTCAAGAAAACAAGGTTTTGTTCAATTTAAAGATCTTCCTTGTGAAAAACAAGAAGAAATAATATGGCGAGCAAATTTAAAGGGAAAATATAGTTCAATAAGAATTATATGTTGTTATCATGAGCAATTTTATGGAAAATATTTTGAGAGAAAAATTACAAAGTGTTGCAATCCTTTTGGAACACACAAGGAAAGTAAAAAAATTGCTATAAAAGGTAATCTTACCTTATTTACAACAGAATTGTTATGGAAACTAAAAGAAAACAATTTATTATTTATAAAAAGTTTTATAATTTCAGTTATTTTAACAACGTAAAACTAAATTTGTTTTTTAGGTAATATAAAGATTTCCATAGACATG